TACTTAAAGCATTGAACATATCTGTTAAACATATTTGATATGTTTGATTTGCTTTTATCTTTGATTTAGGAATCACTCCTGGAGTAGAAACTAAGAAAGAAAAACATATGTAGATTTAAAAAAAAAACAATTGTGTTTTTTTTTTTGTGTACTTTTATCTTTGGTTGCAGAATCATTTTCTGTTGTTTTTGTTATTGCTATAGATACATCTTGTCCTAATGTTGGAAATGCATTTTCATCATCAAGTACAAATGGTACTGATTCAATTATTGTTGATTGTTCTTCTTTTATTTTATTTTTTTGTCGTTCAGAACGTTTTTGTTTTTGTTTTGTTCGTATAGATTCATCATTTTTTTTATCTTGTTTATTCAATAAATTATCATTATTAGTTAATGATTGTGAATGTTGTTGTTCAGTTAAAGAAGATTGTTTAAAAGTATTATTTGATATTTTTGATTTTGATTGTATTGAAGATTTTTTGTTTTTAGAAGATTTTCGTTCATTTTTAGATAGTTTTTTTTTATTTGATGAATGACTTCGATCAGTTTGTTGAGTTTCAGATAATTTTAAAGAATTAGTAATCGAATGTGGAGATGTGGAATGAGGTCGTGGAGTAGAAACAATAGTATTCCAGGATGTTGTTGGTCTAAAGAAAAAAAAAAAGTAATAAGTTTTTTATGAGAAAAATGCAAAATATATTCAAATCTCAAATAAAATCATACTTTAATTATGATATTTTTCTTTTAAATAGATCTAAATCTGATATGTTTGTCAAACTTGAATGTTGAAATCACTTTTTTTACACTACTGAAGAATTACGTATTGTGATTAGACACAAAAACTTTTTATAAATCTCAAATAATTGAATTCAAACTTTTCATATATGATTGTTAATTTTATATTTTATTATTTCTACTAACTTTGTATTTGTTATTGTAAGTGATTGAGTTAAAATATTATCAGATTTTTCATTATTATTTATTGGTAGACTTGGAAAATCTTCTTGTCGAAATTTAAATGGAGTTTCATCATCATTAATATGATAACCATTTTTATAATTAAAATTTTCATGTTGTTGTATAGAATGTGAAGAAATTTGTTTATTATTTGTTGAATAAAAATTAGAACGATTATTAAATTTTGTTGATTCTTGTTGATCATAATGATTATTTCGATAATTATTTGAACGATATGATTTATGATTAATATTACCACCACCACGTTGTTGTTGATGAAATGATGATATTCGATTAGATTTTGATTGTTGATATGAATAATTTGTTAATGATTGTTCATTATAATCAAATGGATAAAATGTTGATGTTTGATTATTTGATGGATAAAGTATTTGTGTTTCCGAATAACATGTATTTGTTGGTAGAAGAACAATTTGTGATGAATTTGTATTTGTTGATGATTGTAATTTATTATTTGAACATCTATCAATATGATATTGTGGTGATGATTGTATATGAAATTCAATTTCAGGAACTTTTATTAATGGATAAACTAATTGTTGTTGTTGTTCAGATGAATAAACAGATGCAGCAGTATTTTCATTAATATATAATGGTATAGTTGTTGTTGATGGAGGAATTTGAACAAATGGTACAAATTCTTTTGCTTCAGGTGAAAGAGCAAATGATGGAGATGTTGTCATTTGTTTTTTTTTTTATTTAATCATAGATAAAAATCATCAATAGCAACAAAAAGAAAAATAATATATAATCAGACGAACGAAAAAAAAAAGAAAAAGTTGTTAGTTTTAGGTATTGTATGGATTTATGTAACAAAATGAGAAATAAAAAAAAAATATATCCAAAAAGAAAATTTTCAATATAAAAAATTAAATTAGAAATGTTATTTTTTCTTTGAATTATATCGATTGTCAGAACAATTATGATTGGTTAAAATGATTTGATCAATAATATTCAATGTACTAAAAGACATCATTAGTCTTGTGTTTTGATCATTAACAACATTTGTATAACAACATGGCTTTAGCAAATGTATTAGGTTTTAATTCGAATGATGAATTCAATCGTTCAATTCAATGTGAAAAAACTGATGATAATATTGATGAATTTTGTCCAAAATTAAATATAGACAATATTTCAAAATTTATTACTTTACCACCTTATGCTGATGTAAAATATTTTTTTTTTTGTTATAAATATTTTTCTGTATTGTTATATTTCTTTTTTTTTTTTTAAGCCTGCAAAATATTTAAAAATGATCAATGAAAATGTTGATCGAGTTAAAATAAAATTTCTTAAAGGTACAACAACATTAGCATTTAAATTTCGTAATGGAGTTATAGTAGCTGTGGATAGTCGTGCAACAGCTGGTGGTTTTATTGGTAAGTTTATTTAGTTAAGAAAAAAAAAAAAAAGAATTTTACTAATCATAGATTAATTTTTTTTAAGCATCTGGAGAAGTAAAAAAAGTTATTGAAATTAATCCATATTTATTGGGTACAATGGCTGGTGGTGCTGCTGATTGTGCTTTTTGGGAACGTGTACTTGCTCGACATTGTCGTATATATGAATTACGTAATAAAGAAAAAATATCTGTTGCTGCAGCATCAAAAATTCTTGCTAATATGATCTTTGAATATCGTGGTATGGGTTTATCAATGGGTACAATGATTATTGGTTGGGATAAACGAGTATGTAGATATTATTTATTTTTTTTGTGTTTATTGTATTCATTTAGGGTCCTGGTTTATATATGGTATCAGATGATGGTGAACGTATTAGTGATAATTTATTTTCAGTTGGTAGTGGATCAATATATGCCTATAGTATTCTTGATGCTGGTTATAAGTAAATAAAAATTAATAAGGTCGAGTTAGATCTGGGCTTGGATTCGTCCTATAATATCCATATTTTATTGAAAAAATTTCACAAGATTTGACTGTGCCCTGAGAGAGAGTACAGGAGTTTTCGCGACGCTCCCCTTCCCTCTCGGTCATCATTTTTTATGAAAAACTCAGGAGATGAGAATAGATGTTTCTTGAAAGTAAAACATATATATTTGAGATATGGCTCGACGTACAATACCTAAATTTTTTTAGTGAAAATAATCGTAAAATTCAGAAAACGAAATCCTATAATTTTGAAAATTTGTAATCCGAGGCCAGAGTTAGATTTTGAGTAGTACTTCTTAATTTATCAAGGAAATGCTTCAATTGAGAAAATGATGTTGGAAACTGCGTGTAGACAGACCTTAATAAGTCCAGTTCATTTTGAAAGTTTCTGATATTTTGATTTGTTTTTATTCTGAAATAAGAACATCAAATGTGCCGATTTATAGAAACGATATAAAAACACACAGAAATACTATGTTCGTCAAAGTCTATTTCTATATAAATTTTCAATTCGGAGTTGAAAAAGTAATGTTTTCGAACCATGACGTTTATTTAAAAAATATCATAGAAGTGTAGTGACTGTGCAACAATATGATAAGAGCACAATCTCTTTGTCATAATTTCATAGGTCATTTGGATGTACATCTCGACTCAAAAGCGATTTATTAGTTGAAGAACTAATCTCATTAAAATGAGCTGTGTAGATTTTCTTTAAAACTCTTAGCTCAATTCTGAAACGTTGTATTAATGTTTTAAATGAATGAGCGTTCTGATCTTACACAATCATTGAAATCATTTATTAGAAGATTGTAAAAAACAAACAAACTTTTATCATAATGATCATGATTTGAATATAGTCGGGTAACTGTAATGCTTGAAAAAACACCACGAGAAGACTTATTGAGCTGAGAAAGTAAGATGCGTTCATCGGCACTCCATTTTTCTTTTTTTGAAGTTTATCATTTATTAATATATACTTTCATGTTAGCTTAGTTCATATTTTTAATGATACTGTTTCACTTCAATAACATTCATGCCGCTTAATGCTATTGATGATGCATTCAGTCTTGTGTGTAGATGAAGAATTCCTGATTATTATCAGTTTTGATGTGTAAAAACTCATATAAGAAATTTTGACGCAATATCAGACTAATACTATTTATTTTTTTTTGAGTAAAAGTTATCTACAAAAAGTGTTAATGTATATGGAGATACAAATTTGGAGTCCTACAAGATTGTGACAGATATTTCGACATGCCATTAGCCAGAACTCATTAGTCACTCTTTAATAGTCTATAACTGAGTAATTAATAAAAATAGGTTTGAAGGGCATAGAGAAATAAAACGACCTATTCCCTACAGATTGTGATAGATAAAAATGATCGACGAAATTCACTACAATGTTTTCTTAACAATAGAAATAGATCAATCGTGTTTTACATTTTTATCCAACAAGAATTACGCTAGAAAATCTTTCTGTTTTCCTACGTAGGAAGTCTTTCTTGAAAAAAAGAAATAAAGTTCAGGCTACGCGATTGATTTCGAGACTTGATGAGTCGTCTTAAAAACTTTTATTTTTGGAAAGCATCGAAAATGTAAATAACTCATAAGCGAAGAAAAACAGTTGTTTTTTGTTTTTTTATTAGAGTTTCTCTTTTTCTATTTCGAGATATATTTTATTCTAAATGTGTATTATTTTTTGTTTTTAGGTATGAAATGAGTACAACTGATGCAATTGATCTTGCTCGTCGAGCTATTGTACATGCTGCACATCGTGATGCTGCTTCAGGAAATATCGTACGAAGTAAGTATTAATTATTTTTCTTATTGATTATAATTATATACATATTTATTTATTTAGTATATCATATGAAAGAAACTGGTTGGGAAAAGATTGAAGAAAAAGATACAAATGATTATATGTATCAATATCTTGCAAACAAAACTATGAATTTTTAAACAAATTTCATTAGCTAATGATTAAACTTTTTAGAAAAAGAACAATACTTGCTAAAATCTTCTTCTTTTTTTTTTCTTGTTTTTATATATTAATCACGAAGTGTGAATAGAAAACAGAAAACAAAAAATAAATAAATTTTTTTATGTTCTAGATTATTCAAATGTTTAAGTAATGACTGAAAGTCATTCAATTCGTTATTGGTTTGCATTAATTATTTCTACTATTGTTTCTATTATTGTTGCTTTAGTTATTATTGCTCTTTGTAAGTATTAAACAAATCTTCGAACAGTAGTAAAAATATATTTCTTAAAAACAACTTGAGTACACTCAAATTGATCTCTCAATATTTTTCGATTATCTCCTATGTAATTAATTTGTAGTATTTTCATTGCATTCGTCATGTCAATTCTTCAGCGATCTAGTTGCCAATAGTACAAGATTAGTTTACTTAACTTCATAACAAAAAATAAAGATACACGAAATATGAATATAGTCACAGTTTCATCCAAAAAAATATAAAATGATTGTCAAGCGAAATTCAGTATAAAAAGAACATTCTCAAAGTATTGATTTTGGGTGTCCGAATCCATGGATTTCAAATAGGAACTAAGAATCAATAATTGAATGTAGTGATTGGATTATCCTAGTTTCGACTGTAACTGGACAAGATCTTATCATTATTTTCCGGTCATGTATTTCTTTACCTGCTTAAGTCAAAAACAATCTTTGTGACAACGATTTCGAATTGTTTTTTTACATTCTAATACTGTTCGAAGATTTTCATATTCTACGTAAAGAAAACAAAAATTCATTTTCATATATTTAATATCTTTGATTTAGCTTGGTATTTATTGTGGAAATTTATTTTAAGTCGTTTTGGTGTTATTCGTGCTTTATTTCAATTAAATAATAACGATCAACAAACAAATAAACAAACAACATCAAAACAAAAATCTTATCGTCATCAACAAAGACGTCGAGAATGAATTTTCCTATAGGTCGATGTCTATCATTAACATCTTTATCTGCATTAGCTTCATATCATTATGTACGTTCTATACATATTCAACGTGAATCATTATGTACACGAAATGAAGCATGGTATCGTTCATTACCATTACGTGAAACATCTCGATTTTGGTCACGATTATTATCTATGAATATTTATCCTCGTTCGATAAGAAATCCTATATATAAATATTTTTGTCGTATATTTGATGCTGATATAAATGAATGTGAATATGGTCCTGATCATCTTGATTATTATGCTAATTTTGGAGAATTTTTTCGACGAAATCTTAAATCTAATGTACGACCAATTGATAAAGAAAATTTAATTGTATCACCATGTGATGGTGAAATACTTACAAATGGTCTTGTAACATCAGTTGAAGATTTAAATATTGTTATTAAAGGTATTCCATATACAATAAAAGATTTATTTCAATTAGATCAATATGAAATTGAATATTTACAAAAGAAACAATCGGAATCATCACTTTTTTATGCTTGTATTTATTTAAATCCAGGTAATTATCATCATTTTCATAGTCCAGCAAAATGGAAAATTAATGAACGTCGACATATAACAGGTATGAAAAAAAAACACGAGGACAGATGCGCATAAAAATCAGTTTTCACTCAAATAGCTTTTTCTCTCAAAGAAGAATTTAAAAAAAAGTGTTATGATTGATTTCATTTTTTTGACTGAACCAAAAGTTTTTCGAATGATTTGCAACACATACAAATGGATTCAATTATTCATGCTGATTTTCTTTTGACTAGAAATATAAAAGACTTGACAAAACCAGCAAATATTAGTCAAAAAATGATTATCTTAGTCTCTGAACAAATCATATATATATATGTTCTTGTAGCACTGGACTTTGTCGATATATTCATTTTTATTTTTTTTTTGTTACCAAAGTTTAATTCAAGTCACGCTATATTTATTACAATTATTGCTGAATTCATTGATTCGTAAGCCTACCTCAGGAGAAGTATCTGTTTGTTTAGCTCACAAAAAATTTTATGGTAATAGTCAACTTTATAAGTTAATTTAAGACTTCGCAACAATATTTATACATTAGTTTGACTTGTTTGAGTGAATCAAAATAGATGATTATGTTCGTTTGTCTTTTTTAAATTGATTAATTTAATATTCTTATTATTATTTATTTTTAAAGGTGAATTAATGAGTGTTCGACCTGAATTTATAATGTGGATACCAAATTTACTTTTACTTAATGAACGTGTAGTATATTTGGGTGAATATCAACATGGTTTAATGAGTCAAACAATGATTGGTGCAACAAATGTTGGTTCTATAGATGTTTATTTTGATCAAACATTAAAAACAAATCAAAAATTAGATGATTATACATTTCGTATATGGAAAGAAAAATTTTCAACAATAAAACCAATTTATTTTGATAAAGGAGATCCATTTGGAGAATTTAAATTAGGTTCTTGTATTGTACTTATATTTGAAGGACCATCTACATTTCATTTTGTTCGTCATTCCGGTGATAAGATTCGTGTTGGAGAACGATTGTAATTTCTTCTTCTTTGTTTTCTTTTTGTTTTTGAGTTTATGTTTTTCATATTGATAAAATAGATTAAACGATTAATCAAGCTTTCAGGTATGGTGACACTTGTTTAGTATTTGCACCATTTGATTCTTTTTCTTTTTTGTCTTTCGTTTCTTTTGCAATAAATTTATATCATTAGATTGTTTTTGATATTGATTTAAATAAAAAAAAACAAAAACAAAGATTGAAACGTTTCTGTTTTATTTACATTTAGTGATTAGAATAATGATAGAAAAATTTAATGTAAATTATTCAGAACTAGACATTTGAAAAATGTTGAGTTTTAATGTTCATAGAAGTTTTCGAAGAATTATTGAGAAAATAATTTGACAAGGAAAATTTTTCAATTGACTAATCATTTTTGAATCGAGACTATACACATCATGTAGATCCTAATGAGCTATAAATATTCTGAAAAGAACTTGTGCTATTAGTTTGTTATTGCGAAATTATTTGCCATGTCTTAGATTAGGAATAAGAAAAACATGTAACACTTTTATCATATAGTAATCTTGTTAAAGTTTGTCACTGCGCAAAATTTCAAGCCGATAATCGTAAATTAGTTTTTTCGAAAGGAACTAAGACACCAAGTCAATAAAGTAATAGGACAATGGTTCGAGCATATTTCAGAATACTCATAGGTCATTAGGATCTATCTGATGTACAACTAAGTCGTAACTCAAAAGTGAATAATCAACAGGAAGACTTCTTCTGTTAGAAATGAAATATTAGTCTCTAACATTTCAACGGTGTAGTTAAATTCATCTGATGTTTCGCTCTTAGTAGTACAGAATATTTTTTAATTACTCTAGTGAACATGCCGTAGAAAAAAAGGTATTGAATAACATAAACAGCTCTGTTTGTTTTTCTTTCATGCTAAAGTAGTTTATATTTCATGATGTTAGGGTAATAGAAAAAAAGAAGGAAAGACTAATTAAAAACTAATTTTCAAACAACACGTACGTTTCTGACATATATATATCATCAAATAATTACCTATTTTTTTCGTGTAATGAGGTTTACGCTATATCTATTGCCTTTATTGATGATTATTCTCTGTCTGTTCAATAGTGGCAACAAGATCGATTGTGTGCTTAATTGCTTACCACAAGCAGGAAAGATTTGTACTATCTGATAGAAGAGAAAATATTTTGTATAAAAATTTCAAATTCTTTTTTCATTATTCAAAAATTATTCATTTTTAAACTCGATATTTTGGAAACGGACGGATAACATGAAATATTCTTGTTTTTTTGAGGAATCGATAGTTCATGAAGTTTACTATACAATATGTTTTTGAAGCTTTAGAATACTATACAATATTTAGTTTATTTTTTTTTTGGATACTCAGTTCATCTACCTAAATTCTAGTATCTGCAGTCAATTTTTGAGAAAGTAATATATTTTTCATTAAACAGCCTTGTGAATTAAATCGTCGGGGGAATGCGAGTCAACGTATGACATGAACGCTGTTAACAATGACCTTTGTGAGTTCTTATATTTCTATATAGTTTGATCAAATGAAAACAAAATATTCAATAATCACATAAAAAAATGATCGATCTTAGGAAAGGAATCATTTAAAGTTATCCGGATTGTTAATCTTTCCATATTGTTTTTGTATCAATTTTGATTGTTTTTTTTCTCTTATATTCAACTGTACATTTTATATTATATAAAAGATTTTTATTATTTTAGATATGGCACCACCAATTGATCCTGCAGATTTTTCTAAACTTCGTTCAGTTGAACCAATAAATACTGATCCTAATGCTCCACCAGCAACAGTTTGGGATAAAATAAAACAAAATTTTTCTATGTTTCGTGAAGTATCAAAAAATAGACCACTAAGTGAAACACTCTGTTTAAAAGAAGCACTTATTTTTGGTAAATAAATTGAAAATCTATTTAAAATAACAAAACAAAAAAAAAATTTTTTTTTTCTTTCATATTTTTAGGAATACCTGGTTCATTTGTATGTAGTATGGCTGCATTTCTTTTAACAACAAATCGTAATCGTGTATTTCAAGCAGCTATATTATCCTTACCAATATTAACTGTTGGACGTTTTACACAATGTCGTGCAACAAAATATCGTGAACGTAAAGCAACAATACTTGTATCAAAAATGATACGAGCAAAAATGTTAACTGATGGTACAACTAAACAAGCAGAATTTGAACGTTTATTTGCAAAATCTACAGTAGAATTAACTGAATTAGAACGTCAACTTGATGACATTATATCTAAACAACAAACTGGAGGAACTTAAAATTTTTTTTTCTTTTTTTTTTTTTTGTTTTCTTGTTTTTAAATCTTTGTAATAGAATTTATTTACATTCTTCATATTTCTAGATCTATGGCATCACGAACAGTTCTTATTACCGGTAGTACAAGGTATTTTATTTTCATTTGTAGGTAGAGAAATATACTTAGTTTAGAACTCGAGAACATTAGATCTATTCTTCAAAGTTGACGAGAGAATTGAAAAACATAGAACTTTTTCAATATGTGTCAATTTTTAGACTATTTTATTTTGAGCGGGTAAAACATAGTATAGAAACTTAACTAAGATAATGAATCCAGCTCTGTGTTGTTTTATGTAGTAACGAATATTTTGAGAAGAACATTCTGACATAAAAACGAGCTTCTTTACACTGAGTGACAAGTCCTATGTTTCGAAGAAATATGTATTTTCATTGATGAGAAAACCTCGCCAACAATTGATACCGTCTATTTGAACTCATGTTTCGCTTATTCGTAGGGCTCATAAATTAAAGAAAATAACTAAATGAATTCTTGCCCTTGTTACTCTGTTCTAGGGAAATTAACATAATAATTTGTTGATATTCACACGTCCTATTGAGAAAATCATTTCAAATTTTCTATTATACTTTCTCATTAGATATCAATTGATAAGATTTTCTCGTAACCATCGTTAATATTAGATCTAAGCGTGTCATACAATTTTCTAGAGAAATAGAACTACGATTATTTTGAGACTAAATACAATTGTTTATTTGTATGCATGACCAAAATAAATCGAAACAATGTATATATTGCATTAGTTAATTTAATAAATAATCATTATTATTATTTATTTAGTGGTATCGGTCTTGGTATCGCACGTTCATTTGCTAAAGCAAAATATAATGTTATATTTAATGGATTAGAAAAAGATGGTAGTGATATTGCAGCTAATGTTGGACGTGAATTTAAAGTTGATTATCTTTTTTCACCTGCTAATGCATTACATTCAGATCAATTACGAACAATGGTTGATGATGGTTTAGCACGATTTAAACATATTGGTTAGTTATTTTATTTATCTATTTAAAAATTAATCATATTCTTTCTTGCTCTTTCTATTTTTTTATCTTAATAATTCAGATGTTTTAATAAATAATTGTGGTGTACAACATGTTTCACCAATTGAAAATTTTCCTGAAGATAAATGGGCAGACATTCTTCGTATTAATTTAACATCAGCCTTTATTCTAACAAAAGCTTTAATGAAACCAATGAAAGAAAAAAAATTTGGTCGAATTATTAATGTTGCATCAGCTCATGGTTTATTTGCAAGTGAATATAAATCGGCATATGTTTCTGCTAAACATGGTCTACTTGGTTTAACCAAAGTAACAGCACTTGAAGGTGCACCATTTAATATTAATTGTAATGCTATTTGTCCTGGTTATGTAAGAACACCACTTGTCGATGCACAAATTCGTGATCAAGCAAAATCTCATGATATTCCTGGTAAATTGTTTTATTAGAATTATATTTAATAAATATAATTTTTAAATATTCTAGAATCAGAAGTAATACCACGTGTTATTCTTTTAAAACATGCCGTTAAAAAATTTGTACCAGTTGAACTTATTGGCAAGTTATCTTTATTACTTGCTGATGATATGAGTGCTACATTGTAAGTTTTTTATGAAATATAAATTCAATGAAGTGTTGTAACATAAAATAAGATATTTGGATTTTAAATCAGATCATGATAGATACACAATGGATAGTTTGTTTTTCTTTTCATAGGCCATATGGATATCTGATACTCTTTAGCTTAGAAAGACTGTACTTTTTAGTCAAAGCATCTATTAAATGTTAATATAATTGGAAAAGTCATTATGAAAAAACTTTACTGTAGATATACATGAACAATTCTTTGTTTTTTTTTTTTATAAAAAGACTATTTTATTAAACATCATTCGATGCTAATTTCACATATATCAAAGTATATTTCGCCTTATTTAAGTTATTTAAAAGTACATTTTCTATGTTTGATCATAGTAAGACATTACTTAGAGAGTAAAATCTACCCATGTGGTTCAACTCGAACAAAAATATTCAGTAGACAATTTCATATAATGTACGCTATGACAATGATAGTTTCAATATTTAAACAATCGACTGTCTTTTGATTGTCATTCTACTAATAATTATTCTTCGATCAGTAGTAGTGAAAACAAGCTTGTAACATAAATATTGTATTACTTTTTTGCAAGTTACTCAAAAGCAAATTTATGTGCTGATAGAAAAACAGATACATTTTCCCATAATAACTGGGTCTGTCAATATTGTATCAATGTCTATTACTTTGACTTGAATTCTTTTTTTTCCAACATATTGACCATTCAGTTTTCTACAAAACACATTTAAAAACTATTAGTCAAATATTTTGCAATAGAATTACTGGTCAACAATTAGTTTCATTTTCTCTTGAAATTTTAACATGTATCTAGGCACACCTGTCTAAGTTTTCAAATATACTTTTGTTATCTTGACTTAAGATTATTTGAAAAACATAAAAATGTATGTATGCTGTCATTTCATATCAAACAATATGACATCATTAAAGTTTATCTTTTCATATGACAAATTTTTCATGAGACTTTAATTTTATGCTAGGATATTGTGTAGATTTGTTTAATGAATTCTTTGTTTTCAAAACAAAGAA